AGCTCCTTTCTTCGATATTAAAAAATAAATAAATGACTAAAACATTTTCTTAAGATAATAAAAATTTATTTTAATATAGTAAGATATTTATTTATTCAAAAATATCAGAAAAGGGCTTCTAGGTACATTAAGACAGCTCTTTTCTTCGATATTAATAAATAAAAATAAATATTAAAATTTAAATAATTTAAATAAAACTAAATTATAATTTTTATAATGTTTAATTATTTAAAATACCAGAATAGGATATCCAATTGTTTTAAGACTGCCCTTTTCTTTGATATTGAAAATAAATATACATTATTATTATTATTATTATTATATATATATATATATATGTGTGACTAATATGAAAATAATAATAATATAAAAGTAATAACAAATTAATATTATAAATAAATAATATTTAAAATAAATTTAAAAGCAATAATATTAAATTGAAAAATATATAAAAACAATCAAGATCAAAGTGAAAAGAAACAAAATATTGGTAACTAAAAAAGTAAAATATCAAAATTAAAGGGCATAATTCGAATTAATAAAAAACTTAATGCTAATAATGTAATTTAACCTTATTTAATTAATTCGGGTTAAAAAATAAATTATAAAAATTATGAAGGACTAAATAAGGCATTTAACCTAAATATATGTATAATACAGGTAAGGACTAAAACATAATAAAATAAAATTCGAAAGTTGAATTAAAAGGTTCAAAATTCAATTTTAGTGACTAAAATGTAAGGATTACAAACTAGGATGGATGCGGGAAGGGTTTACCCCTGATGAAAATTACACGCACACCCCTCCCCCTAAACGACGTCGTATGGCGAAGGGTATATAAATACCCAAATGGCTGGCCCTACGGGCCAGCATCTTCATTCTCTTTTTTCCCTCTGTCTCTCTAAAAACGAGAGAAGCGTTTCTCTCTCGCTTCTCTCTTCACCGGATGGATTCCGGTTTCCTGCCGACAGCCGTGTTCCGACCGATTGTCGCCGTCGGCCACCGTGAACGGTGGCCGGAAATTACAAAATCCACCCCAAATCGAAGCCCGATTTTCCCTTGTCCCAGATCCAAGCCCCGTTTTTCCTAATAACCCTCTGATAACCCTAGATCTAAAATAAACCGAGGGTTTTTTACCTTCGATTAAACGGTGGTTTGACGACGTTTGGTTTCCGACGCCGCTTGGTAAGTCTCTTCACTCTTCTCTCGGTTATTTTTCGTTGCTTTCTGTCTGTGTGTTGGTTGCCCCTCTGTTTTGGTTATCTCCGGTTCCTCCTCTCTTTACAGGAAATGGTAGCCATTTATAGGCCTCGTCGAGAGGCTCCTCAGACCGGTCCAAAAGGGGCTCTTTGGTGAGTCACCAAACTATTGTGGTGACTCACCATAGAGTTGTAGCGTGGAGGGGCAGCTGGATCTTCTGGAGCATTCTGTTGAAGCGGTGGCAGCAGCTTCCTGAGGCGGCGGAGCAGTGGCAGCAAGGGAAGCGGTGACGTGGCCCTAGGGTGATGATACCCTAGGGTTTCCTCTGGAGGCTTTTGGATCGTTGGATCTTATCAGATTCAACAGTGGATGATTGCTGGCGGCTGGAGCAGAGATCAAACCCTAATCAATTTAGGGTTTCCATTGGGCTAGCTTAGTTGGGCCAGAATTGGGCTCCGGGATCCATTTGTAATTGGGCCTGTAATATAATAAAATTAATAAATAATAATAATATTAATAATAATAATAAATAATAAAAACCCAAATGTAAAAAAAACTAGTGTCTTCACTCCCCTTAGAGTCAGATTCCTTGCTTTGATGATCATTGTTTTGAGATTAACTTGTCATAAAGTTATGCCATACTGGACAAGTAGGATGATAACGTATCGAGTTGGATAAGATTTTTATTAATTTGACCTGACTTGAAAAATATGTATTTTTTACTTGAATTTGATTTGAATTAAAAATTATATATCCTGCACCCGACCTGACCTGACCAAAAAATATATATCCTCCACCCTACTCCGACCCGATCTAACCCCATTCTCTTAAAAATTCGATTTGATCCAACCTGAAGTAGATTTCTATATAAAAAAAATCGACCCTATTCATTTGAATAAAGTCAATATATGTCAACTTCAGTTAAATTATCATCCCTATTGACAAGAGATGTTTTCTCAATTTATTAGTCAATATCATAATAATATGTACAAATAGGCAACTCATGTATCAGTTCACAATTCATAATATAATCCAAAGATACAAATATTCTTGAATAGAAGATGTAGCGGGACCTGGTGAAAGTTAGAACCTAACCTCACTCCAAGATTAAGAGTACGGTCTAAAACTCACAAGCTTTAGACCATCCATAAATATTTCTCCTAGAGAGATATTGTATAATTCACTCCATCTCAATGGCTGCACACCTAAGCTTCACATGAGTTTAAGAGTAGGTAATTTACATCATGGCATCACATGAGCCTAAGAGTAGGTCGTTTATATCAAGACAACTCCACATGCTAGTTTAAGGTGAGGAGATGATGAAGACCTTATACCCATGGTTATAAAAATCGGACTGGACCAGTTGGTTCAACCGGTTGAACCGTAAATCGGTAGCCTGTCCGGTCCGGTTACCTCACAAAACCGATCTGGCAATGAATCGGCTAAAAACCGGCAAAATCGGTTTGAACCGTCGGTTCACTTTTTTTCTTTTAAAAAAAATTAAACCAAACGACGTCGTTTGTTCAACGAGCCGAATCAAATTCGAGTATTGTTATGCTCGACTCGAACTCGAAAACTTTACAAGTAAGCTCAACTCGACTCAAAAACTCACAAGCTAAAAATTATCAAGTTCAACTCGAACTCGAAATATAATATTAAAACTTGAACTCGAAAAGGCTCAAACTCAAAAAAAAATTAGAAATTCGATTGAAGCCTAAAATTTGAGCTCAATTGAAGAGAAAGAATAGTTCGCTCTGTGCTCACCAAAAGACTCCATGATTTTAAATGTCAAATTACCTCTATTATTTATAGAAGTAAGTTGGAATACTCTTCTATGTTTCTTAGCCATGTGGGATTGTTTTGTTCTCATATTTTTACTCTTTAAACTTTTGGGATGCTCTTCTATGTTTCTTAGCCATGTGGGATTGTTTTTTTTTTTTAAATTAAACCAAATGACATCATTTGTTATGATTTTTTAAGCCCCAATTTTATTTTTTTTGATTATAGTTATATAATTATATTTATTATTTAACATGTTTTACCTTAAATATTATTTTGTAGTTGATTTGAATCATTTTGTTTCACTTGATTTTATGGATTTTAATTTATATATGTTATGACTTGTGATATTTTTATACCTTTTAATATTGTAAACTTAAAAAAAATGTTACATATATATTAATATTGCTTTGAATATTATGTAAAATTAAAAAATATATATTTTATATAAAATCCGATTCAACCGCGGTTTAACCCGGTTGAACCAGTGAACCAGTACCTTCACCGGTTCAATGTCAGATCCGATTTTAAAAACATTGCTTATACCAAGTCACTTCCTCCTAAAGAGTTAAAAGAATTTATCAAGTATGACATCAATAAGTTTTTTAACATCTCAAACGACATTTCCTTAATAGAGTTTTCATTGTCATTCTTTAAACTTCTCCTTAATTGACGATCATGTATCCACAACCAAATTAATATCATTATAATATCATGAATAATGAGTTGTTCTTGACGCTTAGCACATGAAGCAACTAGGCTTGTAAACAAACCGAACTAACATGAACGGGGTTTGTTCATGTTTGTTCGTTTAACTTTAACCGAACAAATGAACGAATGCGAACATAAACGAACACAAAATTTCTTTTACTTGTTCGTTCGTTAAGGAATGTAGCTTGTTCGGGTTCGTTCATGTTCATTCATTTAAATGATAAACGAACACAAATGAACGACCATAAACGAACAAAATAAACAAACGTAAACAAACTTGTACAAACATAACAAATGAACAAAATCGAGCAAAATAAATGATCGTAAACAACAACGATAACCACAAAAAATTCATTATTCATTAATATAACCTACAACTTTAGAGTTAAAATTATTTGGGTTTTAAACGAGTATGGTTTATATTTTCTTTAATTGATTTGGGTTTAAAAATTTTTGGGTTTTAAAATATTAATGATATTTTAAATGAGTATGGAGATTAGAATGAATATAAACGAACGGATATAACGAACATACACGGACATAAATGAACGAACATAAACGAACGAACATAAACGAACGTACACAGACATAAATGAACGAATATAAATGAACAAATTACCAAACGTTCACAAACGTAAATGAACGAACAAGACTTTTGTTTGTGTTTGTTCATTTAATTAAACGAACATAAAATCATATTCATATTCGTTCGTTTAATAAATAAACGAACATAGACGAACTTCCCGCCAAATAGTTCGCTAAAGGTTCATTTCGTTTACAGGACTAGAAGCAACCATTAGAATTCAAGTCTTGACAAACAGATACTGGAATTCACCTCTACGAGTTGATGCATGTAACGTAGGCGTAATTAGAATTTATTTTCTTAATTTGTTGTCCTATGTACAGAAAAGTTACTTTAATGATAATAAATAATAATTTATTAATTAACTAATTTTATTATAAAAATTTATTACGAGAACAATTTTTCTAATACAATTTACTATACCAAAATTCAGACGTAGAATGCAGTTTTAAAAGATCAGATATTATCAAATAACAGAGATGAATTAAACCCCAATTTCTTTATCAAGCTGATGGAGGGTCAGTGTTACACTTCAAAAGTCTGTCATTGCTGACAGTTGTGGAAACATAGTAAAAGGACTAAAACCAGAATTACACCTATTTTTATAAATAAAAAAAAATCGTTAATTTATTATTTAAAGCAATATTTTATAGAAAATATGATAATTAATAATTTATTATCTTAAATGAAATAAACTCTTCTAACTTTGCCTTTCGGCCACAAATCCTGCTTTAAATACAAATATTTCATTTCAATTCACAATAATTGTACATCAAATTCATTCTCAAAATCAAAACTTCAAGAAAGGACACAACTTCAACCCAAGAACAAACTAGACACCAAAACATGAATCTCAATGCCACAATTTACACTGCTTTCTTACAATAAATTTGCACATCCAAAACCTTCTACACATGCTTAAATTATAGGTTATTGCATGAAAGCATCTCTGCTGATACCCTTAAGAATGACAGGACTCATCAAACTGGGGAGAAATCTTTTTGACAGCACAAGGTCGTAAGTTGTAACTTGTAAGCTTATTGATATATTATGATCACTGTAAAGTGGCAATCCAGAAGAAGCCAACAAATCCTTTCACCAAGTATTAACTCTATAGGGGAGCATGTTGTATTACCTCAGGGAATAATCCATCCTACAATCGTTTTTCTTGCGACGGCATCTATAATGGGCTTTCTGATCAGAGAATGAGTTTTCCCCAATAATCTCCATTTTCAAATGCGTATCTGGTCCAGAGGAAAAGGTATTCAGTTAACAAGCAAAGAGCAAAACTAAACCAAAGGAAAAGGCATACAATTGTGTAGGTACAAGGTTGACAATTAACAAAAGTAAAACACAAGATCAGACACAAATAAAATTAAGATACTTGACATTTTATGAGACAGGGTTAATTTATATCGCTTATTGGGAACATTACATGCAAAGTTCACTGAAGCACCACCGATTTAAAGATGAAAGACTACCGATATGAATTAAACACAGGTAGTATGAGTCTAACAACCACTTAAATTGAAAAGTTACTTCTCTATTGATACTACCACTAAGAATATGGCTTCTGCAATATTCTTATATAACAACTCAAAACCAATCACCACTCAAGTCAAGCAACTTCCTCATCTAACAGGATGATAGAACCACGGCATCTAAAGTTACATAAGACCACAACTTATGGTTGGCCACCTGATCAGATCCCCCAAATTGCCTTCAGACAAAGGCTACAATACAATGCTTCCCAGTTGCACAACAAATTTCTATAACATCGGAACATAAAAGCCTATATGATCCTAACTGTAAATCTTGTATTCTGGAAACCAAATCTATATCGTCCTTCGCACTTAAGCTGATCTAAATGCTTATAGCACTTAATTTCCTACTTGAGCTCATTTAGTGTATCTCTTCACAATTTCAAAGAGCAGTAGAATCTAATTTAAGTTACACTCTGGTAAATTTACACATTCTGGTCAGATAAGTTATATCTGAGTTTGATGCTCCAAATAAACGGAATCATGGTTAACATAGTTTAAATTTATACATTCTCAAAGTTGCACACTTAATAGAACCATGAATAGCATCGTAGTGTAAACAATTACACTTTTGAGCGCACAGGCTTGAGAATCAAAGATCATAAATTCATATATGTTAACAGTATTTCACAAGAAGAAAAATTCAAAGAAATATATATATATATATATATATATATATATATATAAAGAAGTACAAAATAAGCAACCAAACTGTCAAATAACAAGAAAATTAGCAATACCTCCAAAGTGATCCCCCCAAAGCAACAAGCGATTTTCTTCTTCTTCTTCATCAACCTCATCCCCGTAACCAAACTCTACATCCCCACGATATCCAGGCTCACTCCCATACCCAGATTCATTCCCTTGAGCATCAAAACCCCCAAATTGCCCAACTAAACTCTCCTTCTCTCCACTCCCACCATCCCCTCTTTCTTTCCTGTTATTTCTGGCCTCGCTCACATCCGAGGCCCAATTCGGGTCCCCAAAATTGCCGAACAGTTCCCCACTGGAGTCCGTCCCCACCGCCACCGGAAAATCCGAGCACGTACCGTAAGCCGCCGAAGCCCCCACAGAACAGCACCTCCGAGTACCGCTCCGATCGGAACTCCGACCCGAAACCGACCTCGACCCACGACGGCGCCGTTTTCTCGCGAAGAGCTTGAAGCTACTTCTCTTGGGGTTGGTAGAGATTGGGTTGTTGTTGTTGTTATCGTCGTCCATAAGTGTTAGCTTGGAGAAGTCAATGGAGAAAGAAGTGGTGCGATCGGAGAGGCAAGGACGCTTGGGATGGAAGCCATTGGCTGAGGGAAGCTTTGGTGGGGCATATTGATGATCGGAGGAGTCTAGGGTTTGTTGGAGGTGGAAAGGTCTCCATGAATGGAGCTGGAATGTGCAGGCGTCTACTGGGTAGCGTGGGTCTAGAGCCTTGTGAGACATCGAAGGGCGGATTCTTCAACAAAAGGATTGCATACTTAAACTAAGGGTTTAGAGATTCCAAATCTGTGTGCTTCCAAACTTTTACCCATATTATTTTTAAGGGCTGGACTCGGAACAATTGGAAGAAATAGAAAAATAATAAACTATCGGGTACGATGCAGTAATGGGGTATCAATACTATTAATTTACAAAATTAATAAATAATGGTAATGAATGTTATTATAATAATATTTTTTATTTTATGCGATTTTTAAATAAAATAAAATTACAGTAATAATATATTTTTTTCTTTTTTCTTTTTTGTACATTTTAAATATTATAATTAAAAACTTTAACTATAATGGTATTTTTATTTATCATACTTTATTATAATTTTAAAATATATTATTAAATAATTAATTAATTTATAATATAAACTTTAAATAAAATAATTAAAATGTAGAGAAAATCGCCTCAGTGACCAAAAATGCCTTATAATATACGATTTTAACCAACTTTTTTTTGGATTTGCCAAAATGACCAACAAAATCGCAACGCGATCCCCAGAATCGCAAATCAGTTTCCAAAATCGCAACGCGATTCTTGACAATCGCAATGCGATAGTACAAATTCGCATTGCGATTTTCAAGAATCGCAACGCGAATATGAAAATCGCAACGCGAACACATAAATCGCAACGCGTATCCGTAAATCGCAACGTGTATCCGTAAATCGCAACGCGTATCCGTAAATCGCAATGCGTATCCGTATATCGCAACGCGTATCCGTAAATCGCAACGATAATCAGTAAATCGCAACGCGTATCCGTAAATCGCAACGCGATTTTTAAAGCGCCATTATAATCGCTACGCGTATTTTATTTTCAAATTACAAAAACGAATATTAAGACAAAATCCCGTAATCGCAACTCATAACCTAAAACCTAAAATCACAACTCAGTCCCATCTCCATCTCTCACTCTCTACGGCGAAATCCGTCCCCATCTCCGAAGATTTCCGTCCCCATCTCCGGCGAAATCCCTCACAACCATTCACGGTCAGAAATCCCTCACAATATTCAGAAATGGAAAATCAACCTCCGAGGGTTAGTTTTTTTAATTATTTTTATTTTGAAATTTTTGCATTATTGTAGGTTTTTATATTGAAACTGATGATATGTTTACTGGTCATTTCAATAATAGATTAACCATTTCACTTAGATTTCATTTCGCGTTACGATTCTCTCGTTGCGATTTTCATTTCGCGTTGCTATTCTCTCGTTGCGATTTTCAAGTTAGTATTTGTCTTTGTCTTTGTTTTGTCTTTTGGTTGAAGTAATGCAATCCATTCAAGTTTCAATTTGCAGAAGAGTCGCAACGAGATAAATGAAAATCGCAACGTGAAAATGACTATCTGCAACGAGAAAAATGAAAATCGCAACGAGAGAATCGCAACGCGAAATGAAAATCGCAACGAGAGAATCGCAACGCGAAACCAAAATCGCATTGCGATTTTCATTTCGCGTTGCGATTTTCATTTCGCGTTGCGATTCTCTCGTTGCGATTTTCATTTCTCTCGTTGCGACAGTCATTCTCTCGTTGCGATTTTCATTTCAACCAAAAGACAAAACAGTGTTGCAAATTTTAGTTTCAAGAATAAACTACTACTTTTTATGTTTATTGTTTTTGGTATATCTTCACAGTGTAGTTTTTGGTATATCTAACTTGGTATGTTTATTGTTTTTGTAGAAATTTTTTTCGGCTTCATTGACATTAAGGAATAAAGTTAGCCTAGCCACTACAATTGCTTCGAAGCTTTCACCTGCACAAAGACAATTGTTTGAGGAAACCTGCTTCGGGCCATGGCTGAGAGTACAGCATCCGGGTGGAGATGCTAATTTGACCCATTTGTGGCTTCAGACCATGACATCAAATCTACCCGACAGTATACAACGTGGTGAGGAAGAGATATGGTTTCATTTTCCACCAGCGTATACTTGTTTTGGGCGGAAGGAGTTCTGCTTAATCACTGGTCTACGATTCGGACACGATGATGTAGGCCGGTACACTCGTCATATCGCCCGCCCATCATGGTTATCCCGGGTGTTTCCGGATGAGTCAATGGAGAAGCCGAACCTACACGTCGACGACCTGAAGAAATTGTTTAATAAGAAAGCTGGTTTCACTCGGATGGATGACGTCGATGTTGTCCGAGTATGCCTTCTACTACTTGTGTATGCCGGCTTTTTAGGCAGAGAGGCCAGAAAACCTATTCCTCGGGAGCTAATAATATTGGTAGAGGACCTGAATGCATGGAATCTGTTTCCGTGGGGTTCGTATATATGGAAAGCTACCTGGACTAAGTTGTCTACTGCCTTTGATGACCGCAAAAGTTTGCGTGGCGATGGGTCGAAATACACTTTGTCAGGCTTTGTTTGGGCCTTTAAGGTAAGAATTTCTATATAATGTTTCTAAAATTATAATTAATTATTTAACAATTACTAATTTTGTTATTATATTGTTTGTAGATTTGGATATTCGAGGCTTTCCCCAGCATGCGTACATATGCAATAAAAACGTCAAATGATATTCCCAGGGCTATTTCCTGGAAGAGGAAAAATCTGTTGGATTGGGAAGACTTAATACCATATGCGACAATAAATAATGTAAGTTAACACAAATACTTTCATATAATATATAAACAAGTTATTAATAGTAGACGTTTAACTTTGTTTGAGTTTTTATATTGTTAGGAGGCCAACATTCCATTACAAAGACTGACACCCATGGAGGAAGAGCTTGCCACTGATTGGTGGCAAGCTAGTCAGAGTTTTTTTGATGGCACGGATGATGAGCATCATCCACTTCCTCCAATTCGAGAGCCATCACCTCACCCAGAGCCATCACCCGATCGACCCGACTATACACCTCTAGAACGAGAGCCATCACCTATCCCGTCACATCATCGAGCCTCTTCTCCACCATCACCTCATGATAGGCGACCGGTAAAGAGGCCACGACATTTATCTCCTTGTTCTCCACCTCCACAGGATGAGTTACGTGATGAGGTCAATGCCTTGCGTGAGGAGATCGGTACTCTACGCGATAACGATGGTGCATGGCGTGTGGAGGTGTCAACTTTACGTGGTGAGGTTGCCGCTCTACGTGAGATGATAGTATCGTTGCAGAATGAGGTTCATACTCTACGCAACGAGGTAAGTTTAAGATTTTCCATATTTAACTTAATGATAAATTTACTCGTAATTTCACTTAGATTAGTCATTTCACTTAGATTGCTTAGTAAATTTATTCGGTTGCTGCCAATTCTGCTAAACTGTGTATTCTTTAACACTGTGAAATAGTCTTTGTCTTTGTTTTGTCTTTTGGTTGAAAGTAAATTTGTTCGGTTTCTGCCAATTCTGCTAAACTGTGTATTCTTTAACACTGTGAAATAGTATTTGTCTTTATTTGTCTTTTGGTTGAAAGTAAATTTGTTCGGTTGCTGCCAATTCTGCTAAACTGTGTATTCTTTAACACTGTGAAATAGTATTTGTCTTTGTTTTGTCTTTTGGTTGAAAGTAAATTTGTTCGGTTGCTGCCAGTCTTTTGGTGAAATAGTTTACTTTCGCAACACGAAACTTAAAATCGCAACGAGAGAATCGCAACGCGAAATGAAAATCGCAACGACAGAATCGCAACGCGAAACCAAAATCGCAACGACAAAATCGCAACGCGAAACCAAAATCGCATTGCGATTTTCATTTCGCGTTGCGATTCTCTCGTTGCGATTTTCATTTCGCATTGCGATTCTGTCGTTGCGGTTTTCATTTCGCGTTGCGATTTTGGTTTCTCGTTGCGATTCTCATTTCGCGTTGCGATTTTAAGTTTCGTGTTGTGAAAGTAAACTATTTCTTCTTCTGCAAATTGAAACTTGAATGGATTGCATTACTTCAACCAATAGACAAAACAAAGACAAATACTAACTTCAGGGTATTAGTTTGAAACATATTTTTCTTTGTTATCTGATGCATTTTGTGAACTATGATAGAATAATGACTTGGGTGAATACAATGCAAGTTTGAAACATATTTGTCTTTGTTTTCACTGTTTAAATATCATGTCTGTTTATTTACTGATTTTTGTATTTAATTATTTAGCGGCCCAATAGAGTGGATGCTTTACGTCGGGTTATGCTTGCACGACGGAGTTCACGCATCAGACAGCGTGCACGTGCTATTAAGTCTCCGTACACCCCAATAGTGCGAAGACACCGCAAGAAGAAGCCCGACTCGCCTATCATCCCTCAAGAGTCCACTCCTATCGTTGAAGAGGCCCCCCCTATCATTCCTCGAGAGTCCCCTCCCACCGTTCAAGAGGCCACTGTCATCATTGAAGAGGTCCCTCCCACCATTCAAGAGCCCGATTCACATGGCGTCATATGTAGGCTTCTTGAGAAACCCTCTGACGTGCCGAACATGATGGATTCAAGTTGGCTCTCGTATGAGTTACCGGCCAGTACCATACCGGTATCTGAAGAGGAGAGGGAAGAACTACCGGACACAATTCTGGATAACACCCTTTGGGCTAAGACCGCAGTTGATTTTTATCTACATGAGCTGAGCCAGGGGTGTTTCACTGACATATGCAAGCTCACTGATGATATCTATTTGTTGCTTGATCGGTCTTGGTGGGGCGTATTATTAGGGGTCGAAGACAATGGCTATTTCGATGGGGGGTAAGTCTTATATTTTTCTTATATTTCAATTTGATTAATTTTTTTTTTAATTTATGTAAGTCACTAATATATGTCTTTTTTTGTAAAACAGCATATCGATGCATGGGTGACACGTATTCTAATAATAAGAAAACTTAAGAAAAATAAAATATACGATATACAATTATGCCGACGTCTTTTAACGCCGTTCACTTGAAGAATGCACGAGATGAATCATTTGATTTGGGCAATGGACAAGCTAAACTTTATCCTGCATGGTGGGAGGTCGATAAGGTTAGTATTTATTTTAGATTAAGTTTAAAGGTTTTATGAAATAAGTGCGCAAATGAATGAATTATTACTTATGATTGCAGGTGTTTATCCCTGTTTTGGAACGTAAACATTGGATT